GCAATATTTGCCCTTAATTTGAATATTTGGCATTGTGCCAAAATCGGTTAAAAAATATCAAGGCGTTGCTGCGCCATGATCATATGAGTTTGCCGGATAAGTTCAATTATTTGGCCTCTCTTATCCAATGTAATAATATTCTGAGTGGATGGCCAAGAAGATACATCAGCATATACACTTTCCAATGTATTATGGAAATTATCGTAGGAAATATACGTTTTGGGGTTATTCTCTTTATACACCTCCCCGACTGTGGTTAATTTGTAAACTCCTGAACCAATGTAATCAGGATCTGCTAACATGAAAATGCTCAAATTAAAAGTTTTATCTACTCTTGATGGTGGTAATGATGACGAATTTTTTGGTGCCAAATAAGATAGATTAAAACCACCACATCTGCTCGAGCTAGAGTCAATCAATGAATCCGAAATTGTATCTGGTTTTCCTTCAGAAGAATCATACCTAATTGTCACTAGAATATTTTTAACCATTCTTTGCCTTTGACAACAAGGTGTATTTTTCCGAAGGCAATCATGTCTCGTATTTATGCGGATCCAAAATTTGGTTATGTTCTGTGCTGTTGGTTCTCGGAAGGCAATCACCGAATATCTCTGTGCAACATGAATTTGTAAATGATGGATTGGTTTTGCTCTATCGGAGTGCACGACGTGCTGCCTATCAACCTCAATGATTCGTAACACATGATTGTCAATAGAGAAATGGTATTCTATTTGCGCACTAGATAGATATACAATATAGGATATGCTTTTAATTTATAGCAATAGAAGATATAATCGAATATGCCAATTTTTTATTATTACCCCGTTAATTATACGAAATCGATATTATCACCTTTCGATAAGTCGTACACTAGTTCAGTTTCGGCTGAAGTAAAACAAATTTTTTCACAGTGTTCAGAACAATCTTCTACTGATGGTCCAGTACAATTATCTTCACATTGTTCAGTACGATTACAATTTTTACACAATTTCCTATGCCTTGACCATTAATAAGAATTGAGTACGGAACGGGCTATTAAAATAAAAAAATGTATAATATTTTGTGAGCCGATTTTTTGAAACGAGATTTTATTATCATACCTCGTATTTTACACTGGTACTAGGTGAATTGCTGGTCGTATATTGGTAATTATCTAATAAAATTTGCTCGTTTTCGTGATATAAATCTGATATAAGTATAATGTGATCCACATAGTCTTTATAGGTAGTATCAGTCTCATTAATAATTAACAAGCCATAAAATCCGGCCATACGCTGAGTTTTATAATGTGAATGACTAGATTTTATATTATATTTCCATATTTCTGTTATTATAAATATATGAGATAGGCTTAAACCATAATAATTATTTAAATCATCTACTTACTACCAATGAGTGCCAGATTCATCATTCGCATAAAAATCATACAGAAATGATTTACCAGGTTTGATTGGACATTGAGTTATACCTGGAACACCATCTGAATACGGCGTATTCCTCATATGAAGTCCGTGCCAATGGATTGTAGTCACTTCATTAAGTTCATTTCTTACTAAAACTTGAATCCGCTGCCCTGGTCTCACGTAAATAGTTGGCGCAGGAAATTCCGAGCAATTAGGCATCTTTCTATTGGTATCATAAACAACTACAACTGGCCGTTCACCGCAACCATCATGTTCACATATATGATCTTTGATAGTCCAATCAATCTTACAAATATCTTTTTCATATGTACAGTCATGTATCACAGAAACTGATATGACCGAAATTGTCAAAAAAAAGACTACAAATATTATCGTCGCAGCAAAAATCAATTGTTTCATATTGTTTCATAGATTTTTAAAGATGCTCAAATCCTATTGATATTTATTGTCTTTATATATTTAGCCTTAACGCAAAGTAACAAGATGGCTTTGCGTTAAGGTGGCGTCTCAACTAATTAAACAAATACGTATTAGTTAGGATAACGAATGAAGGTCATTAATTTCGAATTTATTAATAATATATCGTTTCGTATCGTTTATCAATTTTTTCAACGATTTATACCATACTATATGATTTAAAAAAACCTCCAATTATCAAACTAAAACATTTTTTAGCACAATATCTGACAAAAGTATATATTAAATTAAACATACGATTTATAAAAAATGCTCTTCATGATTTAATTAGTTGAGGCGTCACCCTGGCTTTGCGTTAAATATTTACGCTTTTAAATAATCAGTTTTTATCAATCAAAAATAACTTTAGAGACTATTATGATAATAGAATTTGCATTATACTGTATTTCAATTTACTTTAATTTTCTCCTTTCGGAAATTACCGAACCTTTTCGCATGATAACGAAAATGAACCCTAATCTGGAAAAACGAAACTTAAAATCAAAATGACTAAAACCTGAACCTTAAATTCAAGCAAAACCTAAAATCAAATCGACGAAATCTGATTTCAAAATGATAAAAACCAAGTCAGTCCTAAAAAATAAATAAAATAAAAAAAACAAATACTGCATAGCCTACCAAATTTTAGTTTTGGAAAAAAAAAAAAACAAATATAGACAAAGCTAAGCTTTTAATAAAAATTAGTGATACAAATCGAAAAATCGAAAAAATCGATTAGTCGATTGGCAACTTATATTAAAATTGAATTAAAATCGAATAATCATTTAAAATTTTTGATAATTTGTATCACTAATAAAAATAATAAATTTCAAATATTTTCTATTTAAAAAAGGCCAATTCTATTTTGACCCGGGGCAAAGTGACCCATCACATGACCATATACCTAAGAATTTTCAAAACTTTGAGCGAAAATATCTCGATAACCATCTAATCAAATTTGATAAACCTTTTTTTTTATATTCAAATCCTATTTATTCATAGAATTTGAATAAAAAAATTTCCATCGAATTTAGTCAAGCAGTTGTCACGGGTTAATCTATGACTTTCGTCACAAACAACCTAGACCAAATGGCGAGCACTTGTTCGCTTTGCTATGACCGATTTCAAGGTTTATATTAAGGCATGTACTTTTATTTATTACTCAAAACACACTTTATTAATTAAGAGCGAGACTAATACTAACTAACTTTTACATTCGCTTTGCTCATATATACATACTTCGGGTCACATTACTTACATCATAATTCGTTCATATACGATCATACGATCGTTTGACTCTTATATTACTAATAAATTACCTCATCTTTCATGCATACTACTTCGATTGCATAATTGATCGTTACTCGATCTCTTAATCCCCGATCGATCACTTGTCAAGTTCATCACGTGCACAGGATAACGATTGATCGTCGCTTTACCTTTATTCCCATACATGTTCACTGCATACTGTATATCACCATGACACAGTTATCGAGATTTCTTCGCTCAAAGTTAAAGAAAAATCAAACCGCCTATCAAAAATAGATGCTACGCCAAATTTTTCTCTAATTTTGAACGAAGATATTTGACACCCATCAAACCAAATTCGATAAAACATTTTTTATTTGAAGTTTCTGGATTCATATAATTCGAATAAAAATTTTTTTATCGAATTTAGCCAAGTGGCTGTCGAGATATCTTTGCTTAAATTAGAGAAAATTTGGCATAGCTTCTATTTTGATAGGCGCTTTGATTTTTTTTTTACCTTTAAGCGAAGGTATCTCGAAAACACCTGACTAAATTCGGTTAAAAATTTTTTTTTATACAAATTCTATTTACCCACAAGATTCAAATACAAAAGTGTTAATGAATTGGTTTGATGGTTGTCAAAATATTTTCGCTCAAATTTTTAAAATTATTTGGTATTTGATCGGAGGTTTGATTTTTTTCCCAACTTTGAGCAAAGATATCTCGACAACCGCTTGACTAAATTCGATGAAACTTCTTTATTCAAATTCTATAAATCTATAAAATTCAAATAAAAAAAGATTTATCGAATTTGGTTTAATGGTTGTCAAGTTATATTCGATCAAAGCTTGCAGCTTCTATTATTATAGACGGTTTGATTTTTTTTCTAACTTTGAGCGAAGATATCTGGGCGAACTCCTGACTAAGCTCGATGGAATACTTTTATACGATTCTATGAATCCACAGAATTCAAAAAAAAAAAGTTTATCGAATTTGGTTTGATGGTTGTCGAGATATCTTCAATAAAAGTTAAAAAAAAATTTGGTGCAACTTCTATTTTATAGGCGTTTTGATTTTTCTTTAATTTTGAGCGAAGATATCTCGACAACATCAAACCAAATACAATAAAATTTTTTTTACTCAAATTCTATGAATCCATAGAATTCAAATAAAAAATCATTTATTGTATTTGGTTTGATGAATGTCGAGATATCTTCGCTCAAAGCTTTAAAAATTCTTGTGCATATGGTCACATGATAGGTCACTTAGACCCGGGTCAAAATAGAATTGGCCTTTAAAAAAACGATATTTAATATTAAAGCTTTTATATATTTATATAATGCTAGAAATTTTATTGACTTGGTGGCTTGTATATATAGTTTTTAAAATGTTAATTACAGGAATTGGGGGTTTCAGAGCTAAGGCTCAGTAGTAATGTATTTATTTCGAAATCAGCGATCTATAAATCTTTATTTTTATTTGTAAACTTATTTATATAATAATGAATACTTTTACGATTGTAAATTTTCTACTTCTTCAAAAAAAAGGTGCTTATTTTATCTCCGGATAATTCCTTAATTTCAAAACTAATAGAACTTCTCAAACTCCCATTTATATTCAAAATAAGTTACCCTCTATTATAAATAATAAGGTAGCTGCGCGACGCCATGCCGTCGCGCTAAAACCAGGAACGTAATTGTGACTATACATGGGTGCCGAAATTCAGAGGGATTTACGGCATTATGGCATGCCAATATTTTTTATATTTTCGGCATGCTACCTCAAAATGCCGATATGCCGAAAATAATTTCGGCAGCTGGAATTATTTCG